ATTCCTGTTTGTGAGCAGAAATAAATTAAGCACCTGGATAAGCCTTCTTTCTCTCCCCTCTCCTGAGCACCCGATGTGATGAGAAAACTGCTGAGAAACAACCACAATTAACGATGGGGTCACATTTAGTTCAGCACCATCGGCTGGTTAATTGGCTGATTCGATTACAGTTCCCCTTATCTGTGTGCCAATACAGTTTCTAACAAGCTGCTTGCTGGGTAATTAATACTGTCCATGGTTTAGATCCTGAAGCTGGGACTGCTTTAAGGGACTGTGCCATTACTAGCCCTCTGCTAGCAGGGCTGCTTCACTCAGAGCTTCTCTTTGCAGAGCCCAATGGTGGGTCCAAGTGGCAGAGAGGACATGTGGAGACATTACTTTTCCCTGGAGAAAAGCCAGCCCTTGATTTTGTGAAAAGAATCCAGAGACTCTATTCAGTTTCCTCCTTGTGCTTGATGCTGCTTGCCAGATCATCAGTGAGGCAATGCCTTGAGAAGCTGATTGGCCCTCCTGCAAATGCAGGGAATTTTAATGAACAAATCCATAACAGGATATAATCTCAGTTAAACAATGGAAATAATAAGTTTAGAAAGTAACCAGACAATTACCTGATTGCCAGAAAGAAAGAATGAGTAATAGGAAAATGCAGACTGGAAAATGAAGATGGAGCTGGACATTGGCTTGGTGGGAAGGTCCGTGCTTGAGGGTGTGTGCACAGGGGAGAGCAGACAGACACTATCAGAGTCAGCAAACAAGCAGCTGTCAAGGGAGGTCTGTCACCTCTGTCATTGCTGTGCCTTCTGCCACAGGCCACTCAGGTGGGCTTTTGGGTATGAGACATAACATAACCTTGTTTTTATGGGTGAATGGACTGGACAGAAGTGCAGATCTCATGTTCTCTGACATAAAAAAGTCCTTTCAGGTCTCTCAGGTAAGCTCTAAGTGAAGGAGCATTCCCCCCTCTGTGATGTGCCAGGGTGTGTGCCAGACAACCAACAGGAGATATGCACAAGGTGATTAAGGCAAGAAAATTAAAACATGGTGGAGGTGAATGATCAGAAATATTCATTTGTGTAGCCTCAATCCTCTGGTTTCTCATGTAAATACTTCAAAAAATGAGTACATGAAAAGTAGGTCACTTTGGAACAACATTCTTGGAAGCAGGGACATTGGAGATGCACAAGGAGAAGGTATAAAGCCAGGATTAGCAGGGATACAGGCAATTGGACACTTTGAGCTTTTTTTTGAGTATTTTTACCACTTGTTCTTAGTCTGCTCTCATTTTTAGGGGCAGATTGGTTACCTCCAGTTTTTCTCACTGGAATCTTTCCTGTATCAGCTGCCCTCAGTCCTTGCTTTAGCTTGCATCAGTCAGATGTTAAAGTAGTTCAGCAGTTGTTAGCAAAGTCACACCGTTTTTTACTTCTGGAAGTTGAAAAAGAAAGGAGACAGTTTCAGAGACAGCAAGATCTAAATCAAATAGGACTTAATGAGATTAATCTTGACGCACTCCTCAGAGCCCATTGCAGCTTGGCCAGGGCAGGACCACTGTGCTCCTCATGAGTTCAGGGACCTCTGTGTGAGTTCTCCCAGATAAACTGGGTTTTGGTTCAGCCAACAGCCTGTGGACTCGGAGTGCAGGGCAAATTCCCCGTCTGAAGCAAACTTCAGAGTAGAAAGAAATGACATCTACTCCTAACACCTCCTCACCAAACTGGACATGAAAGGCTTTGTAAGCCTTTGTTAGCCTTTGTTACCTGGGCCACCAGGAGACAGTGGGGACCTGACACAATTTCATAATTGTGAAGGTCTGTTGTAATGTACATTCATGCACAAAAATCCTCATTATCAATCATTTCATAAATCAAATTTGGATGTTGGTCTGCAAACTTCTCTGCACCTATCAATCCAGGCAGGTGAACTGAGGTGTGTGATAAAGGAGAGATACTGGTGATGAGAAGGGATTGCTTTAAAGAGTGATGCCCCTGGAGGAGCTGGGGAAGGCTTTTTGGCACTGTGCTGAGGAGGGGAGATCAGCATGATAAAGACAGAATTGCTGAAAGGACACAAAGGGAGCTAGGGAGCAGGAAGGGGAAGGCACTGAACGGGCTGGCATGGGGTCAGCAGTTGAAGTCTTGAAGAGTAAGGACAGATGGAGGGGAGAGAGGGAAGACATAACTTGTAATCAAGCAGAAGAAGGCATCTGTGAGGCTTGGGTGAACTAGAAAGTGGGGAGAGAGGAGATTACATCACTAGATTGAAAGGAAGAGGTGGACATGCCTGTTCAGTTCATTCTGCTCACAGTCAGTAGCTGAGAAATCTATTCCTTAACAGCATAAGCAACCTTTGATTAAAAGAACACAGTTATGAAGGAAAGAGGATGCCTTCAGACACTTGCAACCAAGAGAAGTAATGCCTACTGCTCTGTCTCCTTTCTTCCTGTGGGGCTGCTGGGAGTCAGGACAGTTGATCTGAGTTGGATCATTTTTTTCTCTGTGATCACTGGTGTCAGAAAGGAAAGGTATTAGGAATTTGACAGTGTAGGTTATCATTTTGTTTCTGGTCCCTGTCTAATAAGTGGGAATGCTGGAACGTGATGCATGTTTGACAAGTCTGCTTTTGGCCTGGAGAACTGCTCCTCTATTTTCCTGTCCTGCTGTAGTTTAGCTAATGAGCTGTTGGCATGCTTGCTCCTCTTGGGAACAGGGAACTTTGGATACCCACACCTCTGTGATGCTGCCCAACTCCTTAGCATGGAGCTTCCAACCCCACAGCAAGGAGGAGCTGTTCCAGAAGAACTTTGCCAGGTTGCCAGTACTTTCATTTTTGCTGACTAACACTGCCTGCATGCTGATTTTCACCAGCATTAGTGCATTGGGGGGATTCTTGCATTTCTGACTGAACTGCTATGCCTCAGTTATGCCTGCATTGTGATTATTCCCATTTCATACAACTCTGGAGCTCAGAATTTATCAGGACTGAACACTTCTGAAGAAAATTATCTGAGGAAGACAAGAGGCACTCGGATATGTCAAAGAACAGACTGCGACTACTGATGTATTTGGTGCCATGTTTTCAAACTGCTGCCTGCTGGGAGCCACATCCATCTGTCTTTAGTTTTTTCTTCCTCCAGAAATATGTACTAAGTGCCATCTGATTTACTTAGAACGAATGAAACAACCACTGTTGAAGGAAAAATCTAATGCAATTCAGGTCATCCTAACTTCAGTGGGTAAGACACCTGAAGGCTTTGATACTATTACTGAGGATATTAGAACTGAAGTTTTAAATACAGCATTTAGAATAAACTTATGAAGTTGTTTAGCCTGAGTGGAAAATAGGATTGATGCAGGAAAATCCTGATAGTATCAAGACAGAAGTTCGAAGTTTGATGATGATGATTATTCTTCCTATAATCTTATAATATTCTTATTACCAGGCTGCCTTTATGAAGGTACCAATGAGAAATCATATTGGTTTTCCTGTACAACTGCAGTTCCTGAAAAACCGCATTGCTCAGAAGCATCTTGAACATCCAGTGCAATCTGCCAAAATCTATAGTCCTGATGTTCTACCAGAAGGGAATATATGTATATCCTATTTTTTTTTCTTCTTCCTTAGGAGCCCAGTGTTAGCCAATGCAATTTGCCCTGAGAGGCAAGAATTTCAAAGGGCCACACCCACATATTTCTGATACCATCCATGGAAATTAGCATTTCTGACAGACCAGTGCAAATCTATTATTTTTATCTGTGAATGCATTGTGGTTTCTGTTTGGTTGTTAGGGGGTTTTCTTTGCCTGTTTTCTAGTGAACTTAGCCAACATGCAGTTTCTCTTGCTCTGCTTATGCTGTAGAAGGTCCAAATTCTGTGGTGTTACTTGTACTTTGTAAATAATGTGCACACATTTTAACCAGATATTGTACAGCCTTGTGAGAGTCAGCGAAGTCCCTGACTATCTCAGATGGGATCATTTGCACTCTATAGAGTGCAGCACATGAGTCCTGTCAGCAGGAAGATGCATTAGACTCATTCTGCTTGCCCTTTTCCATAGGTTTGCTCTGTGCATCCCTTCTAAGACAGTCTAAGTATGCTGTTTATGGATGTGATTTTTTGCTACCAAAATAATAATGCTATCACTAATCCTACTCAGATGTGCTGACACTAATAAGTCTCATATTGGTAAAAGCATATCTACTTCCAATAAGGAAGGTTTTGTCAAATAAGGCAGGTTTTTAGCAGGTTTCACACAGGGAAGAGAAAGGGATGGATGCCTTAGGTACACTGGTTTAGTTAAAGTAGCACCATTTTTGTGTGTAGACAAGAGCTTAGGAAATGTACAGGTCTTAGTCTGGGGGACAGGACTTTAAAGCATTCATTGAAGTCTAGTGTCAGTTTTCAAGGCTGAAGAATATTATTTTATTTAGGCTTCCAGACCAGCCTTGCTCCAGGAATGCACTTAGGTTGTTTTTAAAGCAAACATGAAATCAATAGCCTGGTGTTCTGCTCTGCTATTTCTTGCCAGAGCTTAAGGACCACACATGGGTTTTCCCTCCTCTTCGTCACACTGCCAGGCGTGCTCCCGGATAACGGCAGGCAGTTCTTGGGGATGAATGCAGAGAGGTTCCAAATGCCCAAACACGCACTGGACATCTGGGCAGTTTTTGCTGCAAAGTATTTTCCATCAGGCTTCCCTCCAGATCTTGCCATGAAAGGACCAACTCACACCACCCTGTCACAGATTTTATCCAGCTTCTTACTTTAGTGGGAGTTCATCTGAGCGAAGCTCAAACAGGAGCCTGTCGGCTTACCTCACCATTTATAATGCTCCAGGTGGAACCCAGGGCTGCGATTTTCAGTTTGACCTGGCAAACACCAGCCCAGAGAGCAATGGAGCACTGTGCCCTCCATCCCATCACTCCAGTGGTGGGCCTCAGCTCACGCTTGTCTGGATGCTTACTTGGTGCAGGAAAATAACTTACTTGTCTCCATCCTGTGCAGGGAACAGGGGCTTCACCTGGAGTAGCGATTCTGAATGCTTGTCCGTGTAGGATTGACTTGCATATGGCTACCCACTCCTGACTCCAAGCAGCCATCATGAGGTAAATAACAACCTCTGTCCAGCTATTGACCTCTCTTGATGCTGATCTCACTTGAGAGTGGAATACTCCTTCTATTTTCCGCAGCTCCCTCGGGCCATGCTGGCTCCTCTCCTGCAGGGTTTGAAGCTGAACCGTATGGTACCGAGGCAGGTCCCCAGTTAGAAACGAAAACACACATTAGCAAAGAGGAGAGAAACAGGCTAAAATTGGAAGTGACCATTTCGTGTTTGATGTTATTCAGAGGAGCCTGTTCTTCATTTAGGACATTAATAGTTGTAACAGAAGCTGTAATATTTCAACAACAGTGGTGATTAGGAGCAAAGAGGCAGCTAATCTCCATCTAAAAAGAGCTAACTAGCCCGTCCTTTAGCCCCCACCGCACTGTCACATTTAAATACCATGAATATTCACTGCTTGGCACCCAGCTGGCATCTGAGCTGTTTTGACACAAAAACCTTCAAACTCAAAGAGTTTTTAATCAGTCTGCAAGAGAGAGAAGAAGAAAGTGAGAGAAAGAAATAGGAACAGAGAAAATGAATCAATGAGTTCAGCAGAGAGGGGACTACCCGAATCCAGTTAACCCCTTCCTTTCTCTGCAGACACAAATGCTGTCTCTGCAGCTCTGCAGCCCTCTGCCTGGCTGCAGAGGATGGAGAAGGGTCACCCCATCCCCTCTGGGCACCCCCATTCCTCCCGAGTGCTCCATCCAGCCCTGAAGCCCCATATTCCCAGGTATCTCTCCCTAGCTGAGTGCCCATTCCCCCTGGCTGCCCCATTTCCTCCAGCTGCCCCATCCCACCCCATGCCCCTTGCTCCAGGCACCACATCCCCCTCACCTTCCATACTTAAAATGCATCGCCTCTTGCTGCCTGTGCTCGTTTCCTGGTGCAGGGCTTATTTACTCTCACCCTTGCCTGTGTTTGTGGCTGGTTACCAATGTGTTTCTGATACAGGCAGCACAGTTTCACTCACAATATGTGATGTGCTTTTGAGCAGCCAGTCTTTTTCCCTGCAAAGAGTTTTCATCTCAGAAAGAGGTTTGGCAGCGTTAACAGCTGCCATCTTCGGTATCCTTATCGGAGCCTCAAAGTTGCCTAGAGCCCACACCAACCCTTTTTGCATCAGTTTTTGCAGCAGGATTAGCTATGCAGCTGCAAACAAAATTTTTTCCTTGTTCTGCAAGAAAGAACCCCACAATATCTGAGGCTCTAGTTTTACCTGCACTGTGGATCTGGGCACTGACGGATCACCCAGCAGCCCCTGTTTAACCTGGATCAGTCTTGTACACACAACTGCATTTCTGTCAAACTAGTCTGATCACATAACACAGAGTGTATGCAACTTTATGCTGTTATGTCAGCTTCGGGCTACTTGTGGTAGACAGTATATACCTGATTTGGCGGGACAGTAGGGTGGTGTAGGACCCGGTCTACTACAACACCTTGCCATGAAAAACTGACTTGTCTAAATTTTCCAAATATGTTTAGCTTGGTGGAGTGCTAGATCCATGTTTCACGTCATATGTCTGTGGCATTTTCGGTCTAATACTGGGAACCACAGCCAGATTTATTTTATAACCAAACTGCAGCCCAAGTCTCAAAACTGTGGCCCAGACTGCAGACCTCAAGTCACATGTGGGGAATCTGTACTTGCACCTCAGCTGGCTGCATGTTCAGAGCACAGTGGGGAATTTTCTAACCTACTGTGTCTTCAGAGAGTCTGTTGTGGACTTAAATTACACATAGGTTGTCTCATCTGCCTTCAGGGTCTTTAAAACTGAGATGCACTTCAAAAACCAGTGTCCTGATTCTCTTAAGGAATACCTAAGGAAAAGTGAAGAATAGAAGCCTGGGACTAATTTAGGCAGATTATTATGGTCACTGTAAAGGATACTGGTATCCAGGAGGAGTGTAAATGAGGTGGTATCCTGCAGACCTTCAGAGGCAGGCCTGTGCTGAGGGGAGGCACTGCAGATGGGAACAAGGAGACAATTGCTGGAAATGCAAGGCCATTGAGGAAAACAAGCAACTAGCACCAGAGGAGCAAAGTGGATAGCTCCATCCCGTTGGCAGCGGAACAGAAGGTTTCTTGGGAGAACAAAAAAGAGCAGGGTTAGTGAGGAGCCTGAAAGCCCTGCTGTGTGGTGTGATGGAAAGGGTGCCACAGTGAAGAGACTGAGAGGGAGAAATGTGGTGGCAATGCTGTGTCAGATCTGCACTACTCTGATCTGTCTTGAGTGAAGGTGGGGCATTATGAGTGTCAGGGAAGGACCACAAAGAGAAATTAATGTAACCAAGATGGGAGATGAGAGTTTGGGAGCAGGTTTTTCCTGTGTGGGTTCCCTAAATCTGAAGCTAGTGTAAGATTTATAAGGAGTTACTGAAGCTGTGGTGACTTTTACTGAATACAGTCTGGGTCTCCTTTGGGAGGAGGAAGTAGAAAGATTTGGGTTCCACATTTCCTTAGTGCTCTCAAGATCCTCTGATGCTCTCCAGACTCAGAGATCTCACCCAGCACTTTAAAATTTACAAGCCTGCACACAATAGCCAAATGTGCTTTGTAATCTCTTCCCAGGCAGCAGACAAAGTGGGTTTGCATAGATTGGTACTTACTCTATTCAAGTTGATAATTATTTTGAATGGAATACTCCCCATGAAGCATGCTTGGAACAGCATCAAACCCTATGGGCTGTGGGAGGCACATCCATCAGCTGTACTCCAGGGTGTATTCTGCAAAAGCTCACAGCTGGATAGGAGGATCCATTTTCCTATATACTTAAATGAGAAAATAGCATGAGCTTTTCTTAAGTCTCTTCTTGCCAATATCTGGCCACTACTTACAATGAATTTGCTCAGTTGCTCTGAACTGTATCTGGGCATGCTTCCTTCACCTGTGGAAAAATGTGGGAATCTAATCATCCAGCACAAAAACAAGGTGTTCCAGCTAATAAGTGTCTCAAAGACCCTGAGGACATGGATTTGGAGTGTTGTTGAAGAGGTGGATCAAAAGTATTTTATTTGACATTCACCTACAGTTTTCTGTTGCCCCACTCCATCATATTTGCATACAGTCAATGTGTTCTGTATCAGGTAAGGAACATCCAGGCTGAGGAACAGGCAGCAGAGGTGTAGAACTTGCAGCACTCACTCACCTGAGTCCACCCTCTCCCCATCCTGTCCCGAGGGGAGTGCAGTGCTGCTGTGGTGGTACTTTGGGGGCAGGGGGGCTCAGATTAGACATAGAACAGAAGCTGTGGCCATCTGTGGTCATTAAAATTCCATGACACCTTTTGGTACTGAAGCAGTTGGTGCTAAAACTATCCCACTTGGAATACAAGGCAGACAAACCTTGTGCAGCCTGGCAAGAGGGTGGTGCCTCACGAGGCTTGCCGGGTGTTTTTCTGCCTGCTGTAGAGAATAGGGCAGACCCTCATGCTGACTGCCCAAAAGTCACTAATCCCAGAGCTGGGAGCAGAGCTGCTGCATCTCTGTGACCAGAAAACCACCTGAAAAGGAAAGAGCAAAGTATGGAGTGTGCAGCGTGCTAATAACAGACCTCTGTGGTTTCTGTGACTGGATTTACACAGTCTGTGCTGGATGGTGGCACACAGATGGACAAGTCTATTTGCAGGTGGTATAACCATAGAATAGATTGGATTGGAAAGGACCTTTGAAGGTCATATAGTAAAAATCCCCCAAAAAATTTTATAAGTTTTTGGGACCCTGAGAGTGCTTGCAGCAAGCCACACAGTGAGATGTAGCCTGACACTCCGAGGCTGTTATGTGAAATAAGAAGGCACTCAAACTCTTGTAGGTTGAATTACATCTCTGCATAGAAATCTAAACTTGGGATGAAAGTAAAGGTCCTACAGAAAATGAAGTCTAATCCACTACACAGAGGGGTAGAAAGGGTGGGTGATGGAGGGGACCTTCAGTGACTGACAGCTTACAGACACTTGCTCTCATCCCCGAGTCTCCCTGCTGTGCAGTGACCCAGAGCAGGAACCAACCCAGCTGAAAAATAAACCTTTTTTTCCTGGAGTTGTTTTTTATCTGGATCAGTTCTCTGGTCTCATTCACCATGTGCTACACAGACATCATGCTGGCATATCTGGTGGTACAGAGCATGGGCAAGGAAGCAAGGGATTCCTTAAACTGACGTAAGCAGCCCTGTTGTCAAAAATGCAACCACAGAGCCTGTGCAGAGTGCTCTCCTTGGCATCAGAGCTGACCTGCAGTCTGCACAGGAGGAGCAAGGGGGACAAATGCCTCTCTCAAAAAACCTGCAGAAATTGTCAAGTAATTAGTCCAAATCATCCCTGCTGCTCCTGGGACTCTGCAGTTGATGCATAAGGATGCTGGAACCTTGTGTGTAGCATTCTGATACTGGAAAAGCTACAGCAGTACTTTTTGTCTTGGTTCCTTCCTGTCTCTTCTAACTCTCTTGTAGAATCATTTCTTCTCTGTCCTTCTCTGGGAGAGGAAAAAATCTGGCATTTCTCTTTGCTCCTTCCTTGGCACCTACTGTGTGCCTGGGAGCTTGCTCAACATTCCTGGTGTTGCCTTCAGTTTGGAAGGTGTTGTGTCTGCACCCCTGAGAAAGACCTGCTTGGTCTGGCATCGTTGTTGGAATCCCCACAGCACCATTCTGCGCCAGCTGCTGCCCGGGGAGCAAGCACAGGAACCCTGGATGCTGTGAGCCCTTTCTGGCTGCTGTATTTCATCTCTCTGTGCTGCTGCTTCCCAGGCAGCATGTGATCCTCTGTGGTATGCTCTGGCTTCTATGGGGAATGGGTTAATGCTATAAAATGGTCTTTTTATGGAACCTCTTGGCAACGCAGAAAACTTTCCCATTGCCGGGGTGTTCTTTTTATTCAACAATTTGTTCCCAGAAAGCAGCCCGTTTAAACAAGTTTTCTCTATTAAGAGTCTTCAGCTGCATTTGTTGTTTTTTGAGCTTATTCAGTGTGCTGTAAACTACAAAACAGTATCCTACAATAG